GATTAGCCAGCTTCCAGAGGCTGATTTTGAATGGCCAAACTCAAATGATACCATTTGACTTCATTTTGAATCAGTTCCATATTAACTGGTTCGGGTTTAGATGAATCAGACCGTGCCATCTCCTTGTCACCAATCTGCACAGTGACATTTGATTTTCTAATGGGTGACAGCAGTGCTAAGGGCTTGCAGCAGCACTCAATATGAGGGTTTCTGTTTCCACAAGTTTGCACCGTCATATCAATGCTATTTTTCTCCCCTTTTTAATTGTTCATTGCTTGGCCATTTAATTCTTATGTAAGGCAATGTATGAACTGTGTGAATAAACAGTGAAAGATAAACATGAAGCGTTCCCATAGCATGAATGGGAAAGAGACAGACGGGAAGAAAACTTGCCAGTCTTGTATTGCTTCTCTTTTAATTTCCCTGAAGGAGACTAGAAAGGGGTAGTCTGTACTCTGGCTTGTTCCAGGAGCCCCAAATCCAAACCAGCCAGCAGTGAGCCAACTTGGTAGTAGGCAAGACTGCAAGAGTGAGCATGCACAGCAATGCACGTAGAAACAGAAACAGTGAGTCAGAAGAGGCCTCCTATCTAGTCTGATCCCCCGGCTCCAGACAGCTCTGCTCATGATATACCTACCGTGTGTATTTTCTGGCCTATCCTTAAACACCCTTCCACCAATCCAGTGAAAGCCCATTCCATACCCCAGGGGTCCTAACCATCAGGAAGCACTTCCTGGCATCCTTCTTGAATCTTGGTTCCCTGAGCATTGCTCCATTGGAACACATCCTGCCCTCATCTGCAGGGGGAAAAAAGGTCACAATCCACCTCCATGTGACACCCCCTCATGTACCTATATGTTGCTAACAGGTACCCTCTGAGTCTCCTCTTCTCAAGGCTGAAAAGACCCAGTTCCCTCAGTCTTGCCTCATATGGCTTACCTTCAAACCAGCCACCATCCTTGTGGCCCTTTACTGCACCAATTCCAACCTTGCAATATCACTCTTGTAATGTGGGGCCCAGAAATGAGCTGTGAGGCATCCTCCCCAATGTAGGTCATTTTGAACAAAGGGTACTTGCAAAGGAAGGTGACAAAGAGTTGCAGTGGTGCTGAACAGGGTCTCGGACTGCCTCAAAAGGGTCTCCCAAAGTCCAAGCTGCGGAAACTTGTTTTCAGGCTCCCTGTTTTAAAATCCAGTGGCATCTCTACTTCTGATGCTTAGAGTAGCTTTATTATGAATGCAACTGTTGCTTACATACACAAGTAGTTTTAAATTCTGCTTTTGTCTTCTACTGAGGTCATCTGAACTTAGTTCCCATACAGCTTTGTTCAGAAGAAAGCATGACTGTCTTTATTTGCTATATGATCCATCAGTTGAAAATTATCTGCAGTAAAAGTCAAATTGTACTTAACTGTGTCAAAGTTCACATCTGTCTAATATTTTAAAGGTATTTTTGAAGGTAAAATATGCTTTACATTTTATATAACTATGGAGTAAAAACATGTGTTTGACTTGGAGTGCAAGGAATCATTAGCACATACCTGACAAGAAAGTAGCAATAAGAAAAGATCTGTAATTTGCATGCTCTTTCTGCCATCTAGCTATTAATATGCAACATTTAAGCCAGATACACAAGAAGGAGCTAATACAATGTATCATCACTTAAAATAAAACTTTCAGGGTTCAAGCAAAGGTTAGACTGTAGTTCAAGATTAGTCTGATACTTTGATCACAAGTCCCTGAGCTTTCATAGCATGATGACAAGGATTGGTTGTGACCACATATATGGTCTCGCTTTATTTCCTGGGGTGTGATACCAAGTGACACAAATTGCTCCCAAAGTTGACCCATGAGATACTTCTCACAACATGCAGTGATTTGAATCATTTTTTATAGGTTCCCATACTCACTTTTTGTGTGTACCTTTTAAATTTTCCAAATGAATATATGAATAGCATAATTAACTGAGTGCAGCCTCCAACTTGTCCAATTTTATTGTGTAAAGTAAAATATCCTAAGTATTCCTAAGTAAAATATCCTAAGTATCCTAAGTTTTAATGTATTTTGTATTCGATGCTGTAAGCCACCCCGAGGCCTTGGCAAGGGGCGGCATAGAAATGTTTTAATAAATAAATAAATAATTAAAAATTCCATGGTAGCAAATTAAAGTCTGAAGTATTTGGCTTATAGAACAGTTATAAATAATAAAATAATATGGAAATATTCTAGTCAAAACTGAACATTTCAGAGTCCCACAGTTTTCAGTGGGAGAATTAAAGATGTGCTTAAACTGTTGAAAGATACAGCCATTAAATGCTCTGATTTTTAACTGAATCATGTCATGTCTTGTATACATTATTTCATAGCAGTGCACTCAAAATATATCAACAGTTTAAGGCAACAGGATTGAGAATAGGACTGGACTGCAATAAAAATTCATTTAAATGATGATTCAGAGATTACGTACATTTCTTCATTAATTGAACACTAACTGTGAAAGTATTCTTCTCCAATTTTAATTGACAAAAAGAGAATAAGCATACATTGGTGCAATTTGCTGAAATCATCTTGAGAAAAATAACATATATGTTAGCTACTATTGGTCATTGTATTTCTGGCATTATAATGCCATGTAATTACCAAATGAACAGGATCTTTGCATCCCCCTTAGTTGCAAGTCATTAAGGGAAGAAATGGGTTCGATTTTTTAGATGCAGTCATAATAAAGTGAATAGTTTGTGTAATGCATTTTGATTTAAATATTAAACATTGTATGACATTCAGCTAATAAAACCAGAAATTAAATCTGTTGAGATTTAAATTGAGAGTAATCAATGGATTTTCGTATTATATAAAATCAATAATATATTCTTTTCAAAAATTGATAGATTTGAATGTTGCCTGTTTGTTCTATTAACCAAGAAAGCATATTTGAATAATTTTCTCACGGTTTTTAAAATAACATTTTTAATTAGTCTCATTTTGATCTGGCTTTAGGATAATTAGCATGACTGTATACAACTGTGTAGGATGCATAGTCATGGAACTTTTCTCACAAGAACCAAGGCAATAATAGCTTAAGTCTTGCTTGATTTTTCCTGCCTTTGCTCCAGCAACTTTAGGCTGACCCTGTCCATAATCTGATGACCTGCCATTGCACTCAGCTATTTGGAAAACTGTTCTGGCCATAGTTGACCCTGAGGGTGGTATCTGGCAGACCACTGATCCATTGACCCATGTCAAGAGTGGATTTAGAATCTGATCTACTGGGCCTCTGACATAGTTAGGCACTGGGGCCACCGCACATAATGTGTTTTTCTGGTTATTAAATGCCAAGTAGTGTTCACTTGTTAGAAAGAAGAACAATTTTACACTAGTTACTTGCAATGAAATCATTTCCTGAAGCAATTACAAATATTAAGTCTTCTACACGTGAATTGCTCATTGCCAAAAAGAAGAAAAGAAAAGATGCCGCACAATTTTTAATATTTCATCTAGCTTTATTGTGCTTACATCAAGCTGGGACATTCATATCATGTTCTATTTTAAAAATTGCTTTTTAAAAAATAGAACTACATAAAGTAAAGAAGCAACACCATCCAGTCAACTTTTTATGGCCTGTCATTTTATAAGATGACTGATATAATATTCAGTTACTTCTTTAATGTAGAAAAGGATAGCTAGACATGAAAGTAACTGTATTGTAAAGAGAAAATGCTATCATAGAACTTGTATTTATCTTTACTTTTAACACAGTAATTGATCCAGTGTTTGCCTGGTTAAGGTTTTGATAGTTTATTTTAGCTGTTTTAATGTGTTAAAGTAAATATGCGTGTGAGTTTGCTGTTATTTAAAAACAATATTTTGATACAGAATGAAAGATATATAACAAAGAAAACAACATTGCTGAAAAAAAATATTTTGTTATTACTTAATGTATCAACCACTGTTTTTTTTAATTTATGCCTGCTGGCCACAATCCTGCTAGCCTTTTTCAGATATAAACACTTCTATTTTTAACTCATACCAATTTAGCATTACGTCTGAAGCTGGACAACATGTGGTTTGTTTTAAGCAAGTCAACTTCAAACTGTGTTTAATAAACCATAGTTAAGATTAAGCACAGTTTGGAGTCCAGACATAATTCTGCTCTGTGGTTAACTGAAAATGACACTAAAGGTCATTCATGTAATGTTAAACCATAGTTCAGTGCACACAGGAATCCTACAAGCCACAGATGTTCCTTCTTCTTTTCCCTGCCCTCGAGCCAATCAGCCAGCAGTAGTGAGGTGGAGAGTAGATACCTGTTTCCCTGCTGCCAGTAGCAATCTGTGTCAAGGTTGCACCCCTCAGCAATTTTCATACTGATTGCTGTTTCCCTACTGCTATTGGCAGAGATTCCACATCAGGATCCATGAGAGGATGGAGAACCTTAATTTCCCTTTTGTAATTCTGATGCTGTTGACAGCAATATGTATCATAATGACTGAGATAAGCAGAAATACTAACCGTGACTCCGCCAAACTATATTAGCATTGTTTGGCTGCAGGGTGGGGGGATTGCCCTCTCCTGCAAGTGATTCTGGTGCAGATTCTGTTGCCAGTAGCAGCAAAGAAACAGAAATCTCCACACGCACACACACCCTCCACACATACACCAGCCAGCATTGCATGACAATCTCAAGACCATGAGATTTGTTTTTTCCTTCAGTCCAAAGGAATGTATATTAGTCATATTCAGAACATTCTTGCACGTCATTTGAAGCAGCTTCTTAATTCACCCATATCCAAAGGTAGCCCCTGAGCTAATGGAAATTGTCTGCCCGTGGTTGATGTGGAAAATTTTCCTTGATATCCCTCCTCTCTCTAGTCCTGTTTTTATGCCCGGATCTCCCCTGGAGGGCTGTGTCACCCTTTGGAACAGATTTACAGCTGCAAATCTTCCATCAGTCAAGTGGCATTCACTGAATACAACTGAAGGGACTATAAAATGCAGCTTACCATATGTAGCTCTGAGAAGGAGATGCTGGTCTTCAGAAATAATAAAAGCCCTGCTGCATAAAGAGCTGCTTGGACTGGGTCATTGCTGGAATTAAAATGTATATAGTCAATGTACATATGGGCAATTCAGTTCCATATACAAAGGCCAGATAAATTTTAAATATTAATCCATAGGATCATAGAATAGTAGAGTTAGAAGGGGCCAAGAAGGCCATTGCGTCCAACCCTATGCTGTTGCAGGACACTAATTTACACCATCCTACTCAGATGGCTGTCCAGATTCTTTTTGAATGTCTCTAGTGAGAGACCTCTCTAGGCAACTGATTCCACTGTCATACTCCTCTGACAGTGAGGAAACTTTACAGTGAGGATATCTAGCCTGAACCTGGGTTGTTGCAACTTGAGTTGATTATTCTGTGTCCTATTCATACCAACAATGCTGTAAGGTAGATTAGGCTGAGGAGTGACTTGCTCTCCAGCCATCTGCTTTTAAAATTAACCATTTTTTAAATAACCAGCTGGCTTCGCTTCTCTTACTATTGGCAAGTTAACTATTATAAAGTGACAGCCAATTTAGAAGAGAAGTGCAAAACATGCTATAGTAGAAGTGCTGTTACCAGTTTTTCTAAGATCTTGAGTAGCATTCCAGGCAAACTAGGTAAGTATGATATGATGTTATTATGTGCAGGACTCGTATATGTACAACCTGCTGCCACTGTGTGTATAAACTGTAACTCCTGACAGCAGAGATATTAAGCATCAGGGCATCTAGTGTATGGTATTAAACTTATTCAAAGGATCTGAGTTGAGTATTTGGACACATGTTTTTGAGACTGAGTTATCAGGAATTTGAAAAGGGATTTATTTTAGATAGCTCACTGTTGGCAAATAAAGTGAGGTCTATACCTAGCAGGTATCCTTCTAAACATGGGATATTTCTTTTAAAAAGGAAATTATATAGTATGAATTCAGAATGTTTGCAACTTTTATTTAAAATGTTTTAATACATGCTTGCTTTTATGGGTTTGCATATTGATTTATACCTAAGAGCACATTGCGTTTGTTTTGAAGCAATAAACAATGGGTGCTTTGAGGATTTTTTCTGTTAGGTTGCTGAAAACAAGCGCATCTTATTTGCTGTAAAACATTTTAATATTGTAGCATGCACCCTCTGCAGCACTTTACCAATTGATGCTAAACAGGCACCCACAGTTTTGAGATTTAGATGACTCTTTAAATCTCATCTTCCTCACAGGTGCTCCCTGAAGGGTGACCGCACTTTGTGGCATGGCAGGTTTATTACTGGTTAATTGTGTTTTGTGCTATTTTATTCTTATATTTATTGTTGCATTCATGTCATTGTATTCAATGTTCACCGCCCTGATACCACTGTGGAAAGTGGTATATAATTTTAAGTAATATTGCTATTGATGTAATTGAGAGGCTTCCATGCTAACCCAATATGTAACATGTCACTCCCCCCCACCCCCCCCCCCCATACAGGAGCTGGTTCCTGAATTTTATTATCTCCCTGAGATGTTTGTCAATCTCAATAATTACAATCTTGGAGTGATGGATGATGGTACAGTGGTGTCTGATGTTGAACTTCCACCATGGGCCAAAACACCAGAAGATTTTGTGCGCTTGAACAGTTTGGTAAGATAGCAACCTAGTATTTTGAGCATTAAGAGCTGCTGTTTGAAATGCATTCTTTCAAGAGAATGAAGTGTGTATTTTTCTTCTGGAATCAAAGAGCTACTTTAGGGATTGGGAAAGCTTGGTGTGAACTGTTTGCATAAACAGTGGGCTGTTGTGCTTACTCCTGCAGCTTTCAGTTTTGCTATTATGGAAATGTAATGACTTTCTCAACATTTTAATGTATCTATTCTCCTGTATTTTCTCTGCCATATATTCAGATTTCTTTTGACACCTTTCTTGGCTTCCCAGATTTACAGTTATCAGTGAAGCTACAAAGCCACTACTAGAATAATGAAAAGAAGACTGTGTATGTCTTTACATATTATATTCAGTTTTTGATTGGTGCTATTTTGGAGGGAAACTATACCAGTTATGTATATTAACCATAGCACAGAAAAAGAGTGGAATTTCTGCTTTCTACTTCCCATTTCACTTGGCTCTTTACTTGTAAAATTCTGGATCTTTGAATCCTCACATGACATCATTCACTTGAGCTATTTTCCACAGCGATCCACTGACAGCAGACACTGTCAAATACTATAATAGATTTTCCACACATGTTCATTCTAGGTAATAGCCCAAGTATCTCCATTAGCTCATAACCCATTGCAACTTATTCATTTGGCCAGATTCTGTTGAGCAAAATTTCCTCTGAATGTTATATTGTGTCACATATTTTCAGCTACTACTTTTCAGCTACTTCTGCAGCCAGTGTAGAATCAGGTTGACCTTTGTTCAATTTTTGGATGGAAGGCTACCTAGGTACCCCACTTTCAGTATTTATAGAACATAATTGCTGCATTTAGAAATAATTTATATCACTTATTTTAATGTACTTACTTTACAGAGTGTAATGCTAAGCGATAGCATTAAACTCTGGAATTTATCATCAGATTTTATTCACAAACATGTAGAACAGTATGTCAAAATATTTTGTATAGAATGATATAGATAAGAAAATTCTACTTTCATAACATAACTGTACATATTTTCTCCAGTGAAATGGAATATACTGTATAAATAATAGTATGTTGTGCTTTGGTCATATAGCACTAGTGACTGTATTAGTCAGCTACTTTGCTAATATTTTATACGAATATAAAATATGAGTAGTGAGCAGTAGCGTAAAATATATTTCTATGTTAATATTTTCACAAGAATTTTGGAAATAACACGTTCCCAGAAAAAAGCACGGTTGTCCATACCTTATATCAATGCAATTTCTTAGATTACTATAAATTATATTAGTAGTCTGGAGTGCCCATTTTGCCAGCTATCACATGCAGAATCTCCCCCTCCTTCAGTTCCCTCTCCAGATTTTTCTGCAATGATTGGACCTCATAAAATGCATACTGCTTTGATCTGTGACCTTTTTGTGGTGCTAATCGGGTTCCTGATATCATTATACCTTGCTCATTAATCATATTTCCTACATCCTATCAGCCAACTAGACAGCCCAAGCCTCTGTTTCAGCCCTGTGCCTGGCAGGTTTCTGCTTTTCCAGATTATTACACTGTGATACTTTGGCTTCTCATAACCAGACCCACATCAAGCTGTGTACTACAATTAAAGTCAGATGGTCCTCAGGTTGAACAGGCATATAGTGTTGCAGCTGTCTGTCTCTTATTGGAATAGCCAGAAAAAGGAACAGATGATGTATAGGACAGTACATAATAACAGATTGTACAGTACTGGGTCAATAGCAGGGGTTCACAATGCTAATTGGCAGACATAGCTACTTTCATCTGACTCTTCTTATTAAAAATAGAAAAAATGATTTGGTTTCATCAAAACAACTAACATATATGTACATCTTGTCTCTATTTTGGGAGAAAGAAATACAAACAATGTGAAGATAACCCTCTTTTAAGATAGAAATATTTCAATAAATAACAAACATTGTAATTTATAATACTCTGATCACTAAATAAATGACCAATACAGAACAGTGTATCTCAATCAGTTAAAACACACATATACACAGAGCCCTCCATAAAAACCAAGTAGACAATTAGGATAAAAGACATTAAATTGTCCTAAATGCCTGGGAAAGCAACAGTATTGTCAGCTAGTATTTGAAAGCTATCAAATTGGCTACCAGAGGAGTGGCTAAATGGATGGAATTCCTCAGAGAGCATACAATAACCAGAAAGGCCCTGTTCCTAGTTGCCTGCTGCCTTCCTCCAGAAGAGGAACTTTCTAAATAAGGCAGGGCCTTTGGTGATTGTCTTAATAGCTGGTCCTGCTTGCATAGGAGCCGACATTTATATACATACTATATCCTGGCACTGTGTGAACTTAATGCTGAATTAGATTGACCATTGGTCCAATGCGCCATGACTCTTCTTACAATCTTCATCTAGCCTGGATGTTTCGATGCTATGAAAAAATGGTATCTTTGAAAATCTTTTACAGTGAAAAACTTTTACTTTTGAATCTACTGCTAAACATTAGCTACATTTTCCTAACACGATATTCAAAACAGTGTTTTTGATTCTCAGTACATTGCTTCATGTTTTATATAGTTTGACCAAAGAATACATTGATCATTATATATTTACTTAATATCCTTGATACTTGCTTAGTATCAGTTAAATATAATAAAATTTTATTTTTAATTTTTCAGTTTCTGTTTTGATCATATATTGTCTTCCTTTTTGTACCTGGCTACCTTAAATAAAGTAATAAACTAATTATGTTGCATGTTAAATTTGTCATAGTTCTCCTTCCTGAATAATCAGTGCTAGTTAGTTAGGCATCTTCTCTAATCTATACATATTTCTGATAATGGAACTGCACTGGTTATGTAGATTAGACTCACTAGAAATATCAATGCAATTCTACAAAGCATTTAATTACATTTTCAATATTAAAAGCAATAGCTAGAGAATACAGATGTGACCCCAAAAAATGTGAAGGGAATTTTTGTTTCCCTAAACTTGGTATAGCAAGTTAGACTTGCCTTGAATAAACTGGCTCAGGAAATGTCAGGAGCAGGCATCTGATTTCAGGGTGTACTATCCCAAACTGTAGGCAGTGGTTTAATTTTGCATGGTCTTTGTGATTTCTCCAGGGATGCTTGCTGAGCTCCTAAACTGCAACCTTAGTGTATCTCAGACCTGGTCCTAAGTGGAGAGCTAGCAGTTCTGTAAAGGGGCAGAGTTTTGGTAGCACCAGATGTCCTCTAGGTAGGCTAGAGCCTTTCCCCATAACTGAATCTGATTCTGAGGAGGAAGTCATCAAACAAGTTGCAGCAAAGCTAGAGTGAGGGGGTTACAGTTAATTATGGGGAAGGAGAGTACCTCATCACAGAATTCCTCACTTTCCTTGTGGGGGAATTAGAAGTGGAACCCTAATTAGTAATACTGTCTATGGGATAAGCTACTGTCTGCAGCTGGTGTTTTCAGAAGAAACAGCTGATATAGGGCCCCATATATAGTTTGCCCAAGGCACAGACAGACTTAGGACTGAAGTGATGAAGGATGGAAGATGTGTTATAAGAGGTTGGATCAGAATTGTGAGTGATATTTGTATAATTTCTGAAAGTGTATACTCAGTAAGTAAATGGTAACTGCTGTTTACCGTGTTGCATTGAATCAATTTATTCTGTTGTTCAATAGTCTAGGAAGCATTAGGCAATTACTGTTCCTGCCAACTACCATGGCAACAATATTCTGGGCTTCCAACCAGGCAACCTGTTTTTGGTTTTTAGTGTCTTCCTTTTCTCCCTTCATAGACAATTAATTCATTTTAAATATGACCATACATTTTGTAGCATGCTTATCTTCTGCTAGTCAGATCTGCAAATGTAAGAAAACATTTTGTGCTGAAAGTTTTTGAGCATCCTTTTGACACTGATATTTACTACTCTTCTTTGACCAGGCCAGAGTACCTCCAGTGAAACCTACGTAGTGTTAAATAAGTGTCTTAGTAGCAATTGTGTATTCCTTCAGTATTGGGATAGTGTTGACATGTTTGTGCTAAGACACTTTTAATACCTTGAGATATCAAAACAGGATGCAAGTTAAACCATAATCATAATAAGCATAATCATCATGCTATGCCTATAGGCATTACTTATATGTGTGTGTGTGTGTGTGTGTGTGTTTAATATGGTTTTAAACTTTGCCTTTTAATGATGTTTTAATATTTTTAATGCAGTGTATTTTTATGTGCTTTGTGAACCTTTCAGAGAGCTTTGGCAGTTGGGACAGTATAGAAACTGATAGATTTACGAAAGTCAAAGTGAGATCATTATCATCACGTATGCTTCTCTCTTTCATACAAACAATTGCAGAAGCTATATTGGTAGTGTGACATTCTTTAATTTATAATAATTATATATAGCTTTCATATAACTACTTGAAGAGATGCCTTTCTGTTTCCATGTTAATTGCTCATTGTGCTTTCATTTTTCCATCTTGATTCAATATTCAACTCTCAGTTTTGAGACAGCTTTTCTCACCCTAGTTTTGAACAACTACTATTGCCAGTGCCCCAGACTAGCCCAGAAGAATAAGATGGAAGGTCCTTGCACTAAGGGAGCCATGTAATATCCTATCCACTGAGGGAGTACATTCCCTCCTTTAGCTACCCAGGAGCATCAATAGATAAGCTAGTTCACTAAGTATCAAAGTAGATGGACATAATTATTGGAATTACAACAATAATTGTAATATAACTGGGGGAGGGGGAATGTAGCTTTTTCTTCCCCTGCTGAAGCCCTGATGAAATTGCTCCTTTGCAGCCATGTGCATTGTGAAGAAATTCCGCACTGACTGCTATTTATGTTTTTTTACAGTTGTGCATATTGAATGCACAGGTATGTTTAATGTACCATTTAGTGTGATCCCGATTCAGTTAATGAAAGTGTTGATGTGACAGAGTATTATTTAATGTGTGAATAAGGGGGGATAAGATAGAGGTGTTTAAAATTATGGGTGGAGGGAAGAAAACGG